TTTTTTTAGGATTAAACAGGCTGTTTTTTGTGTACTGTGCCTATAAAGCTCATAGATGTAAATTACCTCCTGTCCTGATTGGCTATTAAGTATCATTCCTCATTCAAAAAGCAATCCAGGCTGAAACACTCGTTACTACTTTAGTGTTAAAGGGTGCAGCTATAGCTGTGGGCAGCTATATGTAAATGTGCTTTTTTTGGTTGTGACATCACAAAAACAATGAATTCAGAATGGGCAGGTTTTTGCCACTTAGTACTGGTGGTGATAATGTAGTACATAAACAATGATTTAACATTGTTTATGTATTACATCACATTCTTTCTTTTAAAAAAAAAGTGATCTGGGCCCTTTAAATTGTTATTTGTTCAATTATAAGCATTTAGTGTGGAAATTTCTTACATATATTTCTGAGATCTACAAACTGCACCTTAGCAACAGTTGACATTCACATTCTTTTACCCTTTTATTCATCTTAGGGTAATTATATAAACCACTCTATATTATGCAGACCTATTGATTTCAATTACATCATTTACAGAGTACTCCGCGAGACTGGAAAGCACATGGGTGTGCATTACTGCTTGAAAGCATCATTGATTGAGATGCTGTTTATCATGTCTGCTGGAGCTTGTAGGATGCTGCACTTGACCATGAGGAGGCTATATGTTTGAAGAAGGCCCATATGCTTCTTTATAACATGACCACAAGGTCAGAAATAAAGAGAGAGAACGCTGGCCCATGCTATTTGTACCAATTGCCCTCGCATTTGACTTTGTGTGTTTGGCCAGGCCTCTCGGGAGAAGGTGGAATACAGTGGGGTTGCCGTGGTGACAGCAGCACCTCGGCCAACCTGCAAATCGGCAGCTCCTGTTGGTTCGATGTGTCACTTAATTAGGTGATTTCTGAGTAGGAGAGTCTTGCCTTATCATGGGTAGTCTACCGGTTTGAGGCCCTCAGTGAACTGCAGTCATGCTTAGGCTTAAAGGGCAGGCCCCAGGTGAGAGGCTGTCTGAAGAAGAAGAGTGAATGTGTGGTGAAGCTGTGCTCCAGAGCTGGAGCTCATAAAGTTGAAGTCATCAGGGCTTTTGCTGCAGTCCAGCTTTTGATTTTTTTAGTTTGTGGGTGGAATTTGTTTTATTGCCGTTGTGTACGTGGCTAGTCATCTTGCATTTTCCATATCTGCTCCCAGTCATTGAGAGCTGACAACCCTAGAGCAGATCATGGACTATGGAAAACAAAAATAATGTCTTGGCTAGTGAAATTATCTTAAAATTAATCAATATGTCTAATATTTCTCATTATGAGATTGTTGTAGCAATATTTTGTGATTATGGAATTTATTTATGGGCATTTTTACTTTTTTCACTCATATTCTTCTTGAGAAATTGTCCTATTTAATTGGTAGATATTACATTTTTGTTGAATAGATTTCACTTGTCAGGATATAATTAAGACCAGGCATCAGTGCTACCACCATCCCACCCATCTGTCAATAGGTTTAATGGCTTGTGTGTCAGATAGTGTTGAGTGATGTATCAAAAGTTAAATGCTTTTTCAATACTATAACATGGTGAGCAATTTAATACTCTTCCTGACACTACACTGACATTGTATTCTGCCTGTAGGCAACTCAGATTGTGCACGCTAATTTGAATCAGATGGGCAGAGATGCACATGGACATGTGTGCCACTTGTGAAGCGCCAGTGCTAAGTGTTACCAAGCATGGCTAGCAAAGTCCTTTCATGCCCGCAACTTGTGGAAAACATGGGATCAAGGAATGAGATCTGGGCATGTTTTGCCTGCCTTACTAATGAAGATGGTCAGCCAACAGACACAACAAGACCAGAATGTGAAAGTTGTTTTAAGTTTCTCCAAAGCAAGTAGAACGAACTGGCCAAGCATTTGGCTGAAAAAAATGTCCTGAATTTTTTGCTTCACAAAGAGATGATAAGTTAGTAGATTGCCATAGTATTGTTTTGATATTTTTCATTTTGATATTATACTTTCACAGGATATAGTGATACATTGTCACTATTTGCAGAGAGCAGCCTGATTAGGTATGTTTAAATAAGTGCAGAATTAAAGGAATGCAGCAAAAAATCTAATTTACACAATGTAGTTGATCAGCAAAGAAATGTTTGATGTACAAATTTTGCTTCTTTAGTTTATACTAGAGCTACAAGGCTAACATGGATAACACCAGAACTAAAGTCACCCAAATTATTTATGTAAATACATCCCCAAAACTGCTAAACCTTAATGAAGACCTTGATGAAGTTCTAGTGGGTTGAGAGATGTTTTGGGATGCATTTACAAAAAAAAAAATGGATTACTGTTGACTTCTAGTGTTTGTTAGCAACATTAGCCTCTTGCCTCCAGTGCTAAACTAAAACTTGCAAAATTTGGACTCCAATCATGCCTTGGCTGATTGACTATATCTGGGTGTGTGGAAAATTGTGTAAATTTGTTTTTTAGCCAAACCATTCCTCCAAGTCAATCACAAGGAAGTAGAGATCAAGTAAAGTTTATTTCTACTGCACTGACTGATACAGGTAGACCCAGTAGGCCTATTATGTTTAGCATCTTTATTTGCATGCAGCAGAATAGGTGAAGTAAAAAAAAATACACATCAGGAAAATGTTTGTAGCATCTTTTCTACAGTGATAGGACAGTGAAAGTTCTTTGACTCCTGATAAAAAAAGCAGATGGGGCTAGAGCCCAGGAGCCCCCCCACGTCCCCTAGGGAAAGTTTTCTACTTACCTGAACTTTTGCTCTTGCGCAGCCTTTGCTCCTGGTTCCTCAGTAAGTGGCTGCAATGAGAATGAATTACTCCAGGCTGACGTAATTAAACACAGTCAGCCACAGCCCAGCCTTTGACCATGAGACAAACGCTCTCTCTTTGCATAGCTGTGTGCAGGTATGTAAATGCGGAATGTTCTCCGCTGCCTCTGACTTTCAGGACTTTCTTAGAGGACTTTAATCTGCAGTGCTGGAGAAAAATGCATTCACAGGAAGTTAAAACGTTTTGGCACAGGTGAAAGTGAGGTGAAACAAGTTAGAATAATGACTCTGAATAATGGGAAAAATTCATTTCCAGAGAAAGGTCGGCCTAATTGCCTTTTTGTTGAAAGCATTTTTGGCAAGAATTTGGTGCTGTTTATTCGGATTATTCATCATCTTTCCTTTTTTTTTATTCGGTTAGGCTTGGTTTTGCATCAGCATTGCACTTAAGATTTACTCCTAGGGCTTTGTGAAATGAAAAGAGATGAGTAGAGGGCGTGTAGCGTCTGAGCGATGACAGCTAGATTGGTTAGTCGGACACTTTCTTCACATTTAATGTTAATTTCATTAATTGTTTCTTAATCGTCTTCGAGTCAGTGAGCTGTACATCAACACACTGCTGTGATAATTACACACTTTCGATCCACAGATAGCAAAGCATCTTTTTTTCCCCTTCAAATTCTGATGATCTCCACTTTTGAGCAGAGATTTTAATATGGCTGGGCGAGAGATGAGAGAATGGGGTCTAGACTGATGGCTGAGCTTGTTGCAGTGATGTTACTTAAGCACTCGTTTTTCAGCATGTGGGAGAACGACGTTGAATGTTAATCACGCTTTATTAGAGCCGCTGCCGGGATTCAACTCCCCATGACAAGATGAAGTGTGAAGACAATGAGCTTTAAATGGGGAAACTGAAAGGCAGGGGACGAAGGCTGTTCTGACCCGATCAAAAGCCCTACACAGGGAAGCCAGATTAGGATGCCCCCTCCCTCCTTCCCTTTAATGTAATTTTAGTAGTGTGATGGTTGTGCTCTTGTTTTGGAGTTCATCCTACTATAAATTACTCTCCATTTTTGTCTCTCTGTTGTGTTGCATGAGAGTGCTGTGCTGTTAATCTCTTTGCGATCATGTTACATCTTGTAAAGGAGCTACGTGTAAGATTAACAAGGTAGACTAATGGGCCTTTTGCTTCTAGAGTCTGCCACTGTTGTTAGTGAGCTCCCTAAGTTTGGGACTGAATGCTTGAGCCTGGATGCATAATGTTGTTGTCCTAGAAATAGTATTTATCTACAAAATAGTACCTTTACTGGGGAAGGCAAAAATGTTCTTAACTTTTAATGTAAGTTAACGTAAAGAGACAAGCGATTTTGGAGCATTTCTCTCCATGTATGCAACACTGTTAAACATAGCAGATGTATTAAAATGATGTAATGGATTTTTTTTTGGGACAGCAATGGTAACTTTTCTTATTTAGGCTGTGATAATTTGGAGAATAAAAAGAAAAATAAATAGTGAAATTTGATGATAATTTAATGTTTGCAACTGAACATCTCAGTCATTACATAAAGTTCACCTAATATATAAATTGAATAAATAAATAAAATCTTCCATGTAGCTCCTTTGACTCATCTTTTAAAACATGTAAAAATGTCCAAGAAATGTATAAAGTACAAGAAATAAAACTAGAATGAAAAAAGTTTTCAAATTTTTGCTTTTGTGCACTTTTAGAAGTAGCATACAGAAAACAAAAGAAAAACTGATTTTTCTTTCTTTTTCTGTCTGTTTTCTTGCACTCTTGAGAAAATTGACAAAGTCATTCAATTTGACATTTTTTGCTTTTACTTTTTTTTCCTCCTTAGGTAAGATTTTGTAAAGGTAGCTTTTTTTCCTGCAACTGATTTTAAAGTTTGCATTGTCAACAAAGTCTATCTGTCTTTCGAAGAAACTGATCCCTCCTCAATTGCAGTTTCTTTTCAAAACAACTCGATGCATTTCCAGCTGTGAATCACCACAGTTGTTCAGATCCTCCCTCTCGGAAGAGGGCTTTTGGAGGGGGAAGACAGATAGGTTTTATTCATGCCATTTCTCTTGTGTTTACTTTGGCTGATCAGAGCCTTTGCATGCTTTTGTCTCTCTTTTTTTGGGGTGTTGTGCTGTTGTTTGGAAGTGTGTTGTTTTATGTTCTCTCGATGTGTTGTCTCTGTTTGTGGTCCACAGGTCCTCCTCTACATTGCTCATCTGCCTCCTCCTCCTCCCCTGTCGAGTCCCCATACCCTCCCCCTTCCCATGCAGCCAATGAGAGCCAGGGAAGGTTGCTAGGTAACAGTGGGGCTCAGCCTGGCCAGGATTCTGAGTCAGAAGATGAGTTTGGCCCCAGTTCATTCTTAGTTAAAACTGGCTCAGGGAACGTCTATGCTCCTGCCACTGCAACTGCTGACGGTGAGTGCTTCAAAAACTATTGCTACTCGCTAGAGAGGCCCTGGCAGCCCCTGCTGGTCACGCTTTGTATCTTGTGGAGTTAGCCACGGGCGAAACTCTGTGTCTTTTTTAAAGGAGTAGCTTGAGATGGAAGCAAAATGTTAGCTGGAGTTTTTGTTTTTTCTTTTGTTTTTTTTTTGCCTGGGGTTTTTTCTAAGGCCAACAGGGGACTATAGTCCATATTCAAAGAGTTGACAGACCTTTGCTGGAGGAGATGCGCACCATGAAGTCATGCTAAAGATGCTTCTAAGCATAGAGAAGAGAGAAATATCTTTGGTGTTGCTCAACAAAGAAAGTTATATAAGTTTTGTGTCTCAGCATCTCATATGACTCAACATATTACTATACATTCTGTATTTATGTTGTAGATTTTTTGTAAGTGCCTTGGACAGAGTTCCCTTTTATGATCCTCAACTATAGGCAAGCTACGGTTTGAATTTCCATTACAATGGACTGCCATTATCATAAAATGTAGGAGAGGACGTACTGCTCCCATCGCTACACAAATTACAGTAATTCATTGTATTTTGACATCCATGGGGTTACTTTTGCTCCTTCCACTGTGGCATATTAAATCTCTTTTTGAGAACTTGATTAACTGGAGATGTCTTCCAAAATTTCATTCAGCAAACGGCTTATTCCTCCGATTGTTCCTGACATGCCAAAAATTGCACGCTTCCTCTCTCCCATTGTTGGCCTTCTCCTGTTTAGTGTAGACCTTGGCAAGTCTCCCCTCATTGCCCCTGTCATGGCAGATTTCACCCCGTGTCATGACTGTTGAAGTGGTCCACATCTGCTTCACAGTCGAAGTCTAGCAAGCTAGCTTCACGGTTGAAATCTAGCAATTCGTCTCCAAGTTTAGACATCTTTAGCAGAATTTTGCTGGGGTTTAGTGGGATAGTTTGAGAATGCAGTGGTGATTTGGCACAATGGGCAAAATGTTGCTACAGCTGGAGAATTAACCCAATAAAACTGGGAGCCCTATCACCTGTTCTCATTCTTGTATACCTGATTCCTGTATTTTTCATGCTAATTGGTAACAGCTTTCTTTCATTGTTAGCACTGTTTGCATTGTCACTTTAAAATCTGTGAGGTCTCTTTTAGGCTTCTTAATTTAGAAACTTTAATAAAAGTGCTTCCAAACATTCTGTGTTGAGGTGTGAGATTTCAGCTAACAGTTTGTCAAAAATACTTCACCAGAACTTTTCTTCACTTACCAATGAATAAAAAGAAGTAACAGTTAGCATAATATCATGCACAATAGATAATTAAAATACACAAATGCTTATTAATTAGTGGTAATGTTTGCATTTAGTGATGTAATACTTCAAAACAAAGTTCCCAAGTGACCTAACCATGAAGAGAACAACTCGTTGTGCCACAGCGCTCACTGGGTGTAGCTACAATAAATCAATGTGGCATGTCACTAATGCACTAAATGAGCTGTTTATCAAAAGCACAATACAGGATGAGGAATAGGGTGTTTATTAGTGTCCTGGTGGTACTGACACAGCACAGGAAGCCTTTTATTCATGTTAGAAGTCCTCACATTTAGTATTAGTGGCATGGTCAATGATTGGAATGTAATCTAAAAAAAAAATCCCCACACAATTGAAATAATTTTTCTTTGTTCCACTCAGTCTTTCTGTATGAACATTAGGTCTTTGCAGAAGCAGCACTTTCCTTTCTTTTTCATTGAAGTTGGCACTGGCTTATCACGAAAGAAATAATGAAATGATTAATTGAAAGGCCTTGCAGCTGAGAAATTTCACATCGTAGAAAAGTGATTTGAGATACTCAACTATGGCTAAAGCGCTAGCTTTGCTTTGATAATAAGAGCGGTGACATGTTCGGAGAAGTCGACGCAGGAGCGTGAATGCCTGTCATCACTAGGAGAGCTTGGTTTCTCCCAAAGGCCCCTTGACACAGCAAAACAAAAAAATGCTCTCAATAATAGATCAGCCTTTACAAGTTAACCAAAAGCTGGCACTCGCATGAATCTTTCCAGTGTGCTAGCCATCTGCCACCACACTAGCTTGCTATAGTCTTTTCTGCAACTTTAGAAAAGCATGTACTTTCTCCTTGAACAGCCACTGGTCACCTAGCAGTGGTTTGCCAGTGCTGGAACAGGGATTTATCTCTTCGACAAAAGGCTGCGATTTGCATCAGTTATATAGGTTACCCTCAGGCTGACGGTAAGGGGTAGCGCTCACACCAAAGGAATCGGCCTCTTTGCCTCCGAGCTATGTGAGGCACCATAAGGCTCTGTTTGACTGAGACAAAAGTGCATAACACAGTAGCATGCAATAGCAGCTTTTTGAGCTGAAGGAGGTAAGTGTAAAGTAACCGAGGGGATCCTGACAGACATTCTACTGCAATGCCCAACTGTTGATTCTGTAGCAGGCCTAGCACAAATTTCGCTTTTTTGTTTTGACATTTATATCATTCAGTAACCCTTCATCTAAACACCAGGCAGCTCCCAAATAACTGTTCTGTTCCGCTTTAAGAACCTCTCACCTTGCTTTGTAATTGTGAGGTGTAAATAAGTGGTAAATTATGCAAATAGCTCTTTTGGAAAGCTCCCTACTTTGTCATTTTTCATTGTTTGGCCACTATATTTGCCAAGCCTTTGACAGAACAAGAACCCAATTACAATAAGAAAGGGGAGATGCTTCTATTTATTCACTTACAGCACCTAATGAGCCGTTGAAGTCAATTTTAGCCATATTACCTGCATCTTGCAGCTCAGAGCTGGGTAAAAATACAGCTTATTACTTTACCTCGAACATATTTGTTGGTGGATCTTTGCATGGCTTTTAAATAAGTGTAAGGCGGTGAGTGATGAGAGACTATGGCAAGACCTGCTATGTCCTTTCTTTAAAACCTGTCCTTCATTTTAATGAATAGATGTCTTTAAATTCCTGCTGAATTAGCATGATTAGCATAAATCATAGCTGAAGATAACATGCTGTGAGTTAATTAGCCCGATTAACACCGAAGGTCTACTATTTGTGGCCATATTTCTTATCACTTGTGCTGCATTTGCTGCTATTAGTTAAGATTAAGTGGATTTGCAGAAAGGTATATGATAGATTTGTTCAAAGATGTGCATTATATCTCCAGATCTTTTTGAAGGCCTGTATGTAGCCTGAAATTATGTGGCTTTCTAGCCCACTGTCCCATTTCCTCTCCTGTTCTCCCCATGTCAGGAAATTAACTGAGTACATTAGAGCACATCTGACTATGTTGTAACAGAGTTTCTTCTCTGTAGCTAAATCTTTAACATTTCTGAAGTGATAGAAAATGAGAGAGAGGGTGGATGGAAAGCTACGCAAGCCCAGATTCTCACATCTCATGTAAAATGATAAGAGGGGTTGGAGCCAGATCTGAGTTGCTGGCATTAATATGATTTTGTGTGTGTCGTTAGAAATCTGCACTATTATGTAGTTACAGAAATGCGATCTGGTGCTGAGATGTAGGCTAAAAAGGCTTAGCTCAGGGTTTGGGGCTGTGCCTCTGAATACTGAGCGTGTTTTCAGAGGAATTTGGTATGCTTCTCAGGCGACTGAGAGAGAATTACACATGAGGACATGGCAAAGATAATCCAAAAGTCTGGATATTATCGAAGGCTGGAGTTTAGAAGCTAACTGATGTTGAAAAAGAGCATCAAAATCTCAGTCTCACATTGTTTCTAGACACCATATCCAGTGTTGGATAGTAATGAGCTACATGTAATCTGGGTTATGTGATCTGATTACAATTCTCGAATACTAGAATAGGCATGCTCAGATTACAGTTAATTTGTTGACTACTGTTTTTAAAGGTTACATGTTTGATCGGGTAACGTCAATAAATCAGGTGATTTAGTCTTAAAGGGCCCATATCATGGAAAACTGAACTTTCTTCACTTTTTTAAGTTAAGATTGATATAATTTGTAAACACTATGATTTTTTTTTCTAGCATACAGTTCACTGTCCAGTACAATGCTGCAAAAAACAGCACATTTTGAATATATTTTATGATGTCACAAAAACCAACTAATGTGCACATATGCACATATTCATTAGTTTACAGCCGTTTAGCCCCGTCCACTCATGCTGAAGTTCTAAGAAGTGTTTCATCCGAGACTGCTTTTTGAATAAGACACAATACAGGGTTACAGTCTAGAAGTAACAGTCCAGATGTAATCCCAAAGTGATCAGATTAGATTACATTTTCTAAGTAATCTAAAGATTACTGATTACATTTTTGGCGTGCCATAAGTTCTTGAGTATCTAACACTGAGCATGTGAACAGTTCAGGCTGATTGTGGAACCTTAGAAACAAAGGACTCTCACCACAGCTGCCTGCGTTCACTGGCACCTTCTTACATTCATCAGGCTGACTGAGGTGATTTAACTTTCTGCCAGTGTGAAGCTGCAGCGGCTGGGGAAAAAAAAAGAAAAAACAGCATTTGTTGCATTTTTCTAGAACAAAATGCTCGCGGCTTCATTTTGCGTTTCGCCCATCCACAGCAAGTCTTTCTCTGAGATGTCCTAAGCGCACGCCTTTGGCTCTGTAGGCCCGGTGTTAGAAAACAGAGAGAAAGAAAAAGAGAAAAAAAGGCTTTCTCTCAGTGCCCGCTAACCTCCATTAGGGCAATGAGGCACGCTCACTGAAGCTTGAGCTCTTTTATTGAGCATGTGTTGCACCATGGCCCCTAGCTTTCTCTCAGGGGCCTCTTCCTGGAGAGACGGCTATTGGGGTCCAGAGACACCCTGCTGGGCTCCTGTTCTCGAGCACAGAACACCCCCGCAACTCCCGTCTTAGCATCTTTTACCACTGAGTAGCATGGGGCTTGGCCACAGTGGGCTGCTAATTGAGTATGGTTCTCCTCTGTAAAAGGCTAGAAAACATGCCTTTGCAGCTGACTGGGTAGGAATAGGCGGATAGAAATGAAGCCGCCGGGTCGTCTTGCGCG